TCAAGCCGATAAACAAGTTGGAAGCACCCATCCTAAGAAGAGCATGATGAGCACTAGTAAATCATTTGAGTTATTGCACATGGATTTGTTTAGGCCAACACAATACACTAGCATTGGTGGAAACAAATATGGATTTGTGATAGTGGATGAGTACACTAGATACACTTGGGTATTCTTTCTAGTGGACAAGGGTGATGTGTTTGCAACTTTCAAATCATTTGTTAAAGGCATACACAATAAGTTTGAAACAACCATCAAGAGAGTTAGAAGTGACAATGGTAGTGAGTTCAAGATTACTAAAATTGATGAGTTATGTGATGAATTTAGAATTAGACATCAATTCTTGGCCAAGTACACTCCATAAATCAAATGGCCTTGTTGAGAGGAAGAATAGAACACTCATTGATATGACAAGGTCTATGCTTAGTGAGTACAATGTGAGTCAATCTTTCTGGGACGAAGCTATCAACATGGCTTGCAATTGTAGCAACCGCTTGTATTGTCACCCATTGAAAGAGAAGACACCATATGAGCTCTTGAATGGTAGAAAGCCTAACATTGCATATTTTTGAGTCTTTGGTTACAAATGCGATATCTTGAAGAAAGACACTAGATTAGGCAAGTTTGAAAAGAAGTGTGATGAAGGATTCCTTCTTGGTTACTCCACTACAAGCAAAGCATATAGAGTTTGGAATTTGACAAGTGGTACTCTTGAGGAAGTACATGATGTTGGATTTGATGAAACCAAGGGTTCACAAGATGAGAATGAGAACTTGAAAGATGTTAGAGGAATTCAACTTTCAAATGCCATGAAGAACATGGATGTTGGTGAATTAAGGCCTAGACAAGTGATTGATGAAGAAGATGATCAAGTGCAAGTGCTCTCTAACTCAAATGTGCAAGTTGACACTAATCAAGCAAGTTCAAGTGAATCTCATGATAATGTGCGAGATCAAGTGGCTAGTACATCATCTCAATCCAATGAGCAAGCAAGTGCAAGAATCAAGTTCTAATACCCCAACCAACGAATATTGTAAGAGATCATCCATTAGACACTATAATTGGAGATATTTCTAGAGGTGTACAAACTAGATCAAGATTGGCTTCATTTTGTGAGCATTTCTCATTTATGTCATCTATTGAACCAAAGAAGATAGATGAAACATTGTGTAACACCCTAAAATTTGCATCATTTTGAATTAGGTGAATTTGATTTAATTATGCATTTTGTGGGCATGTACACTTAGAAAAATAATAACGTTGTTAAAATTAAAATCAAATATAAGGTCTACATACATGTTTGTACATTCATGCTAATGCATATTTATTTTGTGATGCTTTGGTTTGATTGAAATTTGCAAAACAATTTGAATTTGATTTGAATTTGGATTTGAAAATATGCTTAAGAAAAAGAAAAGAAAATCTTTCCCTTTCTCTCTTTTCCCCTGCTTTTTGGCCCACTCCCTCACCTCCATTCCGTGGCCCAGTTTCTTCTCCCGCTTCAGCTCGGCCCCATTGGCGAAGCCTTGACTTTTCAGATCGGCCCAAGCCACAGACTGACCAACAATAACGTCGCAAGCGTCTGTCCATTTTCTTGCCCGCGGTCCGGCAAGCAGGCCGGTCTAGCAACACGTGGACACCGCTCTCTCCTCTCTCTCCTATCGCTGATGATTCGGGTCCACGTGTCAGCCATTAGTACCTTTCAAGCTATAGCCAGAGGTAGTTGCAGCTAATACACTTAGCTATTTTTGCACATTTTTTAAATACAAAACATTGGCGCAAGTGCATAAGCTCGTGCTACCTCGCCGGTGGCTGCTAGTGCTGCACACCATCACCGCTGCCACTGCTTGGATCTCCGAGATCATGTCGTTGCTACAACAGTCGCCGCTTGGGGACTCCAGCTGGCTGCGCTATCGACTCTGGCCCGCCGGCGGCTCTGAGACCAAAAGTAGCAGTAACAGCCACCATCGACTCTTTTCTTAGAAACAAGCAAGGGACTGAGATGAGTGGAAGAGTGGAGTGAGGCTAGGGTTATGGTGGGGGTGGGTAGGGAGGTATTAGCAAGGCCGGTGGCCCATTTCCTAGGCCGAGCAAGATTTCACTACTACACAAAAACTTATGCAAGGCGTTTCCATACGGGGCTCCTAGGCGGGCGGCCTAGTTGCCCGCCTCGGTTATTTGAGGCTGGGCAGCCGGGCCAGGAACTGCCTCGATTAATACTTAACCGAGGCGGGCAATGTAATAGAACCGCCTCGGTTAATGCCTATTTAATCGAGGCAGTCCTCTATAAGGCCCACCTCAAAAGTTCCGGCCCATCCCGCTACTGTTTTGAGGCCCAATATCCAGCTTTGAGTATATATAACGGGATGAAAACCCTAACCGTGACCACTCCCTCCCAAGCTCCACTCTATGTTTCCCTCTAGGCGCCACGTGCTCTCCTCTTTCTCCTAGGCAGCGACATAGGCCCGACCTTTCCCTCCCACTCTCTCATCTCCCTCACTCGGCGACGGCACCGCTCTCCTCTCTCTCCCCCACTGCTGCACCCCACCTTGTTCTCCTCTTCCTCTCTTGGCTCTCCCTTACCAACCGCTGCACTCCCACCACCGGCAGCCGCTCTCTCCCCCCTCTCGCTTAGGATCTTCTCCTATGACGGTGGGAGGTTGTTCGATCCGGTGGAGGTGCGTGGCAACGCGAGCTCGGTGGTGGTGGTGCAGGCTTGATCCGGTGGAGGTGCGTGGCGGCGGGCTCGATCTGTCACGGATCTGGTGGAGGGGCGTGGCGACTGTTCGGTCCGACGAGGTAGATCCCTCTGGCGGCGGATCCGGTGGCGTGGCATCCTCCCGATGGAGGTTGCTTCGATCCGTGGTGGATCCGGCCAGGAGGTACCCGGATCCGATGAGGAGGAACCCTCTGGTGACGGATCCACCACCGTGGCGTCGATGGGGATTCGAACTGCGCTCCTCGGTGGCGGATCCAATGACGCGGCGGCGTGGTGCAGATCGACGGTGCGACGACGTGGTGTTGCTGGTAGCGGCCCAGATCTAGGCCTAGACCCGGTTTCCAGCCAGGTTTGGGCTTTTTTTTGTTTTTTTATTTTCATTAACCGAGGCGGTTGCCTTAATCCGACCACCTCGGTTATCGATTAACCGACCAACCACTTCTGTTAAGGCCAGATTAACCATGACCTTTTGACGAAGGTGGATCAGTTGCCCGCCTCGGTTGAAATTATAGTAGCAGGGATTTAGCTATCGCTAAAATGTGGGCCATTTAGCGGTTATCTCTAGAGTTATTCGGCTATTAGCTGCTGCCATTTCTTATCACTAAAAGTTGAATATCTTAGCTTTAACCATGTCTAGCTATCTCCGGCTATGGTTGCATTGCAGCTATAGCTGGAGATTTAAAATCTCGATATAGATATAGATATAGATATAGATATAGATATAGATATAGATATAGATATAGATATAGATATAGATATAGATATAGATATACTTGTCCACAAGCATCCATATAGGATTTTCGGCTAAGCAAGTCATGAGAGCATATCCAATAGTCTTTCTTAAACCCACTCTCTAAAGTATCATTTGAAGAGTCATTTGAATAGAATCACTCTCTATTTCTTTTCATCCTCCAACATCTTTATCTATATCATGTGCATACTCTAGAGAGCTAACCCCGCTCTTTATTTTTGGTTTGTGAGAAATCTGGAACAAAGATTGACAATATATGGACATCTAATTACAAAAGTTGTCTTAGAGCATTTTTTTTATAAAATCTCTATTCCTATCAATAAGGAGAAAGGATATAAGGGTCTATTTGGTAGAGCTCATCCTACTCTAGATTCTCCGTGGAAGCTGATTATCTGAGAAACGTGGTTCTTGGATTGGAACTATTTCTCTGTGATTCTCTAGGATAAATTTTATAAATGGAGTGAATCAAGTGAAGCTACTTTTTCAACTCTCAGACCCTTAGTTCATTGCATAGAATCACTTCACAAAATCATCATAAAATCACTTCTTAGTAAAAAACTATTTAGTGCAGCCTAGATGCTGCAGCAGGAGCTCGGCCAAACAGAACCTAAAGATGCCCTAGGAGTTGCTCTTATGTACACATGTATTGATGTGAGTGCCTAGCCTTTCATTAATTGGTTTAATTTTACCCAACCAACCTATGCAAAATTACTTGATCGATGAACCAGCCGGAGAGCTCTTCTACCATCCGTAAAAAATCCTCATTCTGTTCTCCTAAAAATTAAGGCAGTGCCCCAGCCGTACATTCTAATACAATCTCAGTCACAGTAAACCAGAAAACAGCAGTACACGTACATGCACATGAGACATATGGCGGTATACTAGCACATGAAAATAACTCCTCTTTGTCGTTGCCATCTTCCTCTAGAGCCTGGTTCTCGACACTCGACTTCTCGTGGCATGGCATGGCAGAAGCGAGAGAAAAATGCCCCACAACCCCCGTCGCTCTCCCCAAAACCCCCCCGCCCTCGCACGCTCTCTCCTCTGCGCTGCGCCGCTCTGCCTAGCTCTCTCTGTCCCCCTCCCTCTTTCCTCACGTCTTCTCTCTCCCTCTAGTTGCCAAATCGCAGCGGCAGCAACAACAGATCCAATACATACTAGGTTCCATTGCATCACACATCAGTCATCAGTCACTCCAAACCATCAGATCACACACCCATCAGATCACAAAGGCAAAGAGGAGAGAGAGAGGGTGAGGAGGAAGAGGAGAGAGATATACTACTAAACTATCTATCCATCCATCCATCAATCAGGTAGCCCGGCAGCAATCGCGTGCCGCCTTTCCACTCACGTACACCACCACCTCTCAGCTCGGTTCGTTCGTTGCAGCGTCAAATCGGGGCAAGAAGCCAGCAGCCAGCCCTGTTGCAGTGTTGCTTCGCGTGCTCTGCTGTTGCTTGCACCACGCGCGTACCTGAAGAAAGCAGCGATCCATTGATCGACCGGTGGTTCGCTGTCGCCACGGTCGGCATGTCGTCCTCGTCCTCGTCGTCCTCCGCTGCCTCCGCGGCCACGGTGTTCCCGCCGTCCCCGCAGCTGCCGCCTCCGCTCCTGGTGGAGAACCTCCCGCCGCTGCATCAGCTCACGCCGGTAGCGGCGGCGGCCGCGCCGGCCTCCGAGCAGCTCTGCTACGTGCACTGCCACTTCTGCGACACCGTCCTCGTCGTCCGTGATCGAATCCCTGCTCTCGATATCTATCTCTATATATACATACATGCAGCTAACTGTCCATGTTGTTTAAATCTCAAAAGATTTTACAAGCCTGAAGGTGTGCCTGGGTGCAGGTGAGCGTGCCTACGAGCAGCTTGTTCAAGACGGTGACGGTGCGATGCGGCCACTGCAGCAGCTTGCTCACCGTCAACATGAGGGGCCTCCTCTTCCCGGGCACGCCGACGAACACAGCCGCGGCGGCCGCACCACCAATAGCTGCTGTCACTAGTACTACCACCACCGCCGCCACCATCACCACGGCGCCGCCGCCGGCCACCTCGGTCAACAACGGGCAGTTCCACTTCCCCCAGTCGCTCAACCACGCGCCCAACCCTCACCACCAATCCCTCCTGCTGGTACGCGTGCGGAGAGCCGGCAGGCCGGCCGGAGACACGTCGTCGCGTGTGCTTCAGAGTTGCCGGAGCTAGCTCGCTCCGAGATGTCATATATTGCATGCCTAATCATATCTTGTGTCCGCGCGCGTGCATGCAGGACGAGATATCCAGCGCCGCGAACCCGAGCCTGCAGTTGCTGGAGCAGCACGGCCTCGGCGGCCTGATCCCCAGCGGCAGGAACGCCGCCGCGCCGCCCCCGCCCCCGCCGCTTGCAGCGGGTAAAGGGGCCAAAGAGCCGTCGCCGCGCACTAACCCCGTCATCAACAGACGTGAGTCCACCTAATAGACTTCCATTCCATGCACGTCGCCAAGTGTTCTATTAATTCGCTATTTCTTCTTCGCCATCTCTGATTGTCCAAGATTTGCTCGGTTTCGTTCTTGAGATGCATCATACGATCAGCCTGAGCCTGGCCTTGAGGAAGCTAGCTAGGTGAAACCTTCAGTTCAGTTGAACTCATCTTCTAGCTAGCTCCATCTCCATGCTCGCTCTGGCTGACCAGATCAGTGAGCACACGTTCAGATGGGCTAGCTAGCTAGCGACACATAGGCCTAGCTATAGGTGTCGTACATGTCGCATCAATAAGTGCGACGCCCAGTCGCCCACACCGCTGGCCGCTGGCTTTCAATCAATTGTCCAAGAGGGAGCGAGAGCGGCACACATCTTTGTTTCGTTCTCGAGCTCTTTTCACTGTGAGAACCGGCCAGTGGACGCTGCTATACGGCGTGCTACCTGAGTGCACCTCAGTGCGCCGAGCTCCAGCGTACATGCTGTGTGTGCTGCCGCGAGCAGACGAGAGAGAGAGAGAGAGAGCGGCACATATCTTTGTTTCGTTCTTGAGCTCTTTTCACTGTGAGAACCGGGCAGTGGACGCTGCTACGGCGTGCTACCAGAGTGCACCTCAGTCCACGCGCCGAGTTCCAGCGTAGTACATGCTGTGTGCTGCCGAGCAGTGAGCCCTGCTGCTGGTCGTGTTTCAAGCGCGCGGCATGACTGTGTGTCTAACAGGTTTTTGTGTGCCTCGTGTCTCTCTGCCTCTGCAGCTCCGGAGAAGAGGCAGCGCGTGCCGTCGGCGTACAACCGCTTCATCAAGTGAGTGCCAGTATGATGCTACTACATTTTTCATGCTGTGCGTTACAGTGTAACAGTGTATAAGTCATGGCCGGTGGTTCTCTCATCGGTCACGGCAATTCATGCCGCCTCGTTGGCAGCAGCCGGCAGCCGGCCGGCCCGGGCCCGGTCCGGGGTACAGAGGCAAGAACTTTTGCAGAAGGAAGAGAGAGGCCCTGATAGTTTTTGCTCTCGTTCAGTCGTTCTCTCTCACACACACACACGCGCGCAGAATGGCAGAAGAGAGAGAAAGGGATGAAAGATCTAGGATCTTGTTTAGATTGCAAGTTTTTTCACTCTCTCTATCACATTAAATTTTTGGACATATGTATGAAGTATTAAATATAGATAAAAAAATAACTAATTATACAGTTTGATTGTAAATTACGAGACGAATCTTTTAAGCCTAGTTAGACCATAATTGAACAATAATTGTCAAATACAAACGAAAATACTATAGTGCCCAATACTGATTTCTAACCCCAGTCTAAACAAGGCTAGCAAGCAGTAGTCGTTACATAAGACATGGCAAATGATGCATTGGTGATGGCAAATCATGCTAGTGTCGTGTCGCTGAGCTAGCTGCTGATCATATGCATCGATCTGACGTCTCCCTTTTCCTTTTCTTTTTTCTGTCTCTCCCTCGGGGCTGGGGAATGCGATTGCAGGGACGAAATCCAACGCATCAAGGCTGGCAATCCCGACATCTCGCACAGGGAGGCCTTCAGCGCGGCGGCCAAGAACGTCAGTGGTTTCCTCCCCTCCTCTATCGCCTCGCTTAGATCTTTCTCCTTCAGTTCTTTCTTATATATAATTTCTGGTCTGATCGCACTCTAGGGTTTTGTTCGTGCCTGTACTGTTCGTGTTGCTAGGGTTTCCTGATCTTTCAAAACCGCATGATAAGGACCATGCATTTTTCTCCTCCTTTCTAAATCCATGTTTGGTGTGGTGGTTTTGGTTGTTGCTGCAGTGGGCACACTTTCCACACATCCACTTTGGACTCATGCCGGATCACCAGGGGCTCAAGAAGACAAGCCTGCTTCCTCAGGTGATGAATCCGTCAAAACCTTATCAATGTACTGTTATATATTTCCTCCGCTCACCAAATAAAAAAAATCATTTAGGACAAGATTTGGTCAAAACTTAAAAATTATTACAAACATATAAATATCTTTTTTATATCTTTTACTCTCTCTATTCCAAATTATAATTTTACTCTGTATCTAGACATAATGTATATCTAGATACGTACAAAAGATATGTACTTAGAAATTAAAAGCCAAAATGATTTACAATTTGAAACGGATGGAGTAGTTTGGAGACAAGCAATATATATTGGTAGATTTGTATGTGAAATCTCTTTTTTTGGAGGAATTTAAAAGATATTAGTGGTGATGCATATGCACTAAAGACCATCTAAAATCAAATGCGACAAATACTTTCGATGAGAGTTAGTATGAAGAAAATTGTATCTATAACTATGGCTAATAATGTTACCCCTTTTAGTTCAATAGCAAGGTTCAAAAGTGAAAAAAAACAATTTAAATGTATTTGTTAATGTGACTGTGATTTTCCTTGAAAAAACAAAGGGTGAGGTTGAGGTAATATCCAATACTTTTATAGAAGATAAGATGGATTTTCTGCTAAAATGTTTTTACTGTTCTTGGTTGTGATTGTCCTCTGTGACATTGACTGATATTTTATAGAAATTTCTGTTCCAACAACAATTTATACTAGTAAATTTATTATATTATTGAAGTATTTACAATGAAAAGATTATATAATGCTAATCTACATGATTATATAATGTAGCTCAAAATTTCTCTGCTGCATTTTCTAACTAGAAATATATAATGTACAATTTTTTTTGAAAGGTATATAATGTTCAAATTTACAATTGGTAGAGTATATATATGAACACTCTCTTGGATTACTCTTTTTTTTCTACTTGTTACATGTCCTTTGGTTCTGTCAAGTATTACTCAAGTCTCTGCCTATTAGATTAGCATTGGAATTCTGATTTTGTTCCAGTACATCGAAATTGAGACATGCAAGCAAGAAAAAAAAACATTTTTCGTGCATAACCACAATAAATATATATAGTACATGCCAGATTGCATATATATTATTGTATGATTCTCTTATATAAGACTATATAGGAGCAGTTAGCTCAAAGGAAAAAAAAAAGGCACCATAACATGCAAAACGTATACCACTAAGTACATTTAAGCATTACCATGCTCCCAACAAATCATGGTTAAAATGATTTAAACTAAACCAAATTTCGGTGCTTTTGGCTTTACCAGGATCTCCAGAGAAAGGACGGGCTTCTAAAGGAAGGGATCTACGCGGCGGCGGCCGCCGCCGCTGCGGCAGCCAACATGGGGGTTGCTCCATACTAATATAATTACTCCTACTCATCAAGCTTAGAGTAGCAAGTTGCTACTGTTACCTAGCTTGCGAGAATCTCCTTTTTAACAAGTGGTGGCTCTATGAACTATGAAGCTATATATCTAGTGCTTAGTGACCTCTTAAATCAGCTTGTTAAACGTTCCAATCACGTACGTATATCTGCTGTGTAAACCTGGTCGATCGATCGAGCTGATCATTTGATGGCTAGGTGTATCCTTCTCTAGCTAATTAATATATATCTATGTTTTTGTGTTGATTATATGGTAGATTAGACGAAGAGATGGAGTCCTTTTTTCCGGGCCCCCATCCTTGTCTTTTCTTTCCCCACTGTTTTAGTTGCTAGTACACTGCTGCTGCTGCTGTTGCTTAGGGTGTGTTTAGTTCGCGAAATGAAATTTTTTGGATGTCATATTGGATGTGTTGGGGATGTCGGAAGGGGTTTTCGGATACTAATAAAAAAAATTAATTACATAGCTCGCCTGGAAACTACGAGACCAATTTATTAAGCCTAATTAATTCATCATTAGCGCATGTTAGTTACTGTAGCACTTATGGCTAATCATGGACTAATTAGTCTTAAAACATTCGTCTAGCGATTTCCAACCAAACTGTGCAATTATTTTTTTTCGTTTATATTTAATACTCCATGCATATGCCGTAAGATTCGATGTGATAGTTTGGGGTGAAATTTTTTGAAAACCAGGCCTTAATAGCTAGCACGTATCAGGCCAGGCTATCAGTCGTTATCTTTATCATATCCCTGCTCTTTACTGTGTCTTTTTCTCCTCTTCTTTTATTCTTTGTCTTGGTTCTTCGCCCGCTGTCGAGTAAAGGGAGGCCAGCAGGCCAGGGCTGGCAGCCACGGGCTCGCACCGTCGTCTGGAATCCTCCTGCTGCCCAAAAACCGCCGGTCTTTGGCTCTTTGCCCCCTTATTGTTTGCTTGCGTGCTGCTGTAAGAGCTGGATGTTGGAATTCAAACGCGCCCACCTCCAATCCTCCATCCCTGTACTTGCAAGAGCATGCAAATGCAGTGGGTATTATTTGCATCGATCACCGCTACCCCTTGCTCTTTTGCAAGCTCTGTGTTTCTTGCATTGCCGTCGTCTCTTTGCACCCCTCTGGTGTCTGCACCAACAGCAGGCCCACGGCATACACGGGCTGGATACATCCTGCTGAGTGCTGAGACCTTCTGAGCCTGGGAGCCCGGCCATGTCTAATTTGCTTGTATTGTAGCATGAAATAATCGTAGCTGTGCCGAGGCCGAGAGTGCAGATCGATAGGGCCTGCGAGCGCGGCATCCGTTTCCGATCCGCAGACGCGCGCTGCCGGCCGGCCGGCACTAACAATGAAGCAATGGGGCCGTTAAAGTTGGCGCTCAAAGCGGCGGCAGCACTAGCTTTTTGGGGCCGCGCCGGCGCCCTTGTTCCGGGGCACGAGCACGAGGGCAACTGTTTTGTTTGACAAAGGGGAATTTGCAAACAGGGGAAAGCGCCGCGGGGCGAGGCCGCGTGTTGCTGGTATCGATCAGGGCTGCTACATGGCATATATACTGTACGTACGTAGTAGGTTTGTTGCCGCCGGCCAGCAGCACCCATGCATGTCGCCGGCCGGCCTGCTGCCGGCGTGGCGACTCTTGTGCTTGACGTACGTGACGGATCGAGCTTAGTTTGGAAAGCTGGCGCGCGGCATGGTCCATCCAGCAAGTCCAACTGACCAGCTTTATGGTCACGGGGCATATGCATGCCTATGCAAAGCCGCGATGTGTAGTGCTAGTAGCTAGCGCGTACATATTCGAGCCGGACATATATGCGCGTACATATGCAGAGCTAATCCAACACGCGCACGCCGCAAGGCTGGCAGTGTGCCAAGCTTGCTGAAGGGGTCGGCTCGACGCTAGACAACAACAAAAAAAAAGGAAAGAAAAACGGACCGATTGCCCGGGTGGCCGAATGAACACTGAACAGGAAAATAAAGAAACAGCGACCGTGCAATTGAGCCGCTGCGAGCCGTTTGAACCGGTTGGTTTGGACTGGACTGTCCGTCGTGTTGTCGCCCATCTGCTACGGGCTGCGCGGCCCGACTGCCGAGAAAATCCCCAACGTTTGATCCGCGTCTCGCTCGAACATCCCGACTGATGGGCACGCGCTACGGAGTTGTAGCTGGGCGGGCCTGCGGCCTGCTCGCTCCAACGGACGTCCAATGCTTTGCAATGAGTCCAGGTTAAATGCCCACGTTCTGACTTCTGAGACGGACTTACATTACAGATGAAAGGGACGTCATGGCCCAACTGGCCAGCAGTATCCGATCGGACCAAACGGCTTTCCTACGGCTTCTCTACTACTAGTGGCCGAGTGCCGGATCAGCAGGAGTCTAGGACAGCGAAGAAAACAACAGCTCATTGGCAGCCAGCACCGCGGCAGTGAGTCAATCCAGATCTACTCCCAAGCTAGGAGGCGGATCCACGAGAGACGCAAGTACTTGCCAGTACGATTTGAGTAGGCAAGTAACAATAGCTTCCGATCCTTGCAGCAGAGAAAATTCAGACCTGGGAGGCCGGCATCCTGGATCTCGTCAAGGCAGCAGCGACTTGCGATCGGGCAACGAAAACAACGTGACAAGATCCCCGCTCATGCTGGACCTAGAACGAATTCAAAAGCCTCAGCTTCGACGAGTGGTCCCGCGTCTCTCACGGCGAAGCGAAAGCGATTGTGGGCACAGTGGCACGCCGATCGCCTCACGCTGCCGTTCACTGTGGGCACTGTGTACCACAAACGGTAAAATGTTCGTGCTGTACCAGTGCACTCATTCTCGTCTCTCGGTGCGGCCTCCGAGGGCTATGCAGACCCAGTGACCCGCCCAGCGGCAGCATGATGGAGAAGCCTCCCGCAGCTTCCGGTGTCTCTGGCAGCGCTGCGGTGCGGCAGGCGACCAGACCACCAAAATATGCTCGCCTTCGGCAGCAAGAAGGCACGGGAGTAAAGCGAACTCAAGGAATAACGGGCACGCGCATGCAGTCCGGTGCCGCGCCTCGCTGTAAGCCGCGAAGTGAGCACGACAGGAATCCGCGAGGTCAGAAGTCAAAAACGCTAGCATACGGGGACAGAGCATCAGAGTCTGCAGAGCCCGGCTGCTGGACCTGGACTAGAGCCGAAGCAACGAACATGCCACGCCCCACACACACAGAGAGACCCTGTGCCTGTGCCTGGAACTCAGAGCATTCTACAGACCCAGCTGTGCGTCTTAATCATGGCTCAAGAACAGGCCCTCATTCCGAGCTAGGAATTCGGTCGCTAGGACGTTTCTATTCTTCGCAACATTCTGAATATTAGCGTCGCTCCAAACATGACCCAAACACTGAAACACGTCGTTTCTGAAACCTGAAACTGTGGCGGAAGTTGCCACCGTTCTCAGCAAGCAAAGCGACCATGGTATCGCGTGACACAGACCACCAGATGTGTCCATGTGCCAAACAAGAGCGTTACAACTTGCTCTAATCTACTGCGTCTGCGTGCGTAGGTGACAAGATCACAAGATGCAGTTAGTGACGGTAGCCCAGCCCAGACAGCTGTGCAGAGTCAAGGATGGATGGGTTGGGTGCCACTGGGAATCAATGCCCAGTAGCTCCACGAGTACGAAACCTTTTCAGTGGAAAAGAGAACGGTGTGGAAAATTAGCTCCGAGAACGTTGATTGATGATTGTACGCGCCCATGGAACTGGCTTTCTGGGAGAACGGACGGAAGATACGACAGGAGACTGATAAGAATAAGAATCCTTTCTCTAACGGGCTGAAGAGAAGCGTGTTTAGCTGACTGAATGAAACCTGAAACCCTTTCTGAATGAAACCTGAAGAGAAGGTATCTGTGCCACCTGACTCACTTCTCAATCCAAAATGATTTTGCAGGCATTTGGCATGTCTTGGAAAGAACACACTATTGCAACGGTAGTTGCATAACTACCGTAGCAAACGGGCAGCAGTATTAAATGGCAAACATGCTTATGCAGTTATGCTACAGTTATGAATCGACCAGACAACAGAAAAACAATGCAGTAACTGGTTTTGTAAATATAAGAGATGTATAAATATAAGAGATCGGTGAGCACATACAACACCAAAGCGAATAGGCCCATTTACAGATGGAATCGAGCTACACACAAATAGTTACCTAAGATTAGATAATAATTCTTCGACTCTGTTAGAACACAAAGCTCTCTGAGACTGATGACCTTTGTACAGCCCTACACAACACCCCCCGCCAAATAGCTTTCTTTATCCTCATCATTGAGCAGCGACTTTGATCCTGCAGGTTTATTTCCACGCACTGTTCTTGATCGCCTTTACACAACCTCCTTTTGTTTTGGAATGTACAGTTTCTTTCTTTGACTATATAATTTCACGTCATCTCAAATCGAATCTATAATGTCTTCCTCCCTCTTCCCATGATCTAGATACACCCTACACTGGATCACCGTCCCTCCAAGCCGGAAGCCCGGCACCACTGTGAACCCGACCTTTGGTCGCACTGGCTTCCCGAGCTCCTTGCTCCCCACAAAACCCTTCGACCGGACAATGTTCTCCATGTACACCATTGAGAACTCTGTGCCCCGGCCGACCTGGAATATGCCGACTGCTGGGTCATATGCCCAGGCTAACCTGTGGAGTGTCCATATTGAGCTTGCCATTGCTACAAACAGCTCGTAGAGTGGGCCGGCCACACTCATCACTGGCAATGTTCCGCGGTCTGAATTCCCAAACAGTGAGGACTCGATGCCAGGATGGATCAGCTGTTTGTACTTGCGGTCGCAAAATTGGGCAAACTCGCAGTCCGGGCTTGAATTCATCAGCTCCATGGGGTCTGCATCTGAGTGCTCGATGAATTGCTGCAATGACTCGTTCCTACGGGTTGCCAGCTCGATTCCTCCAAGCTCTGTGGCGCCAGCTGTGGCGCCGAATTGGTAGGAGTCGAATCCGTCAAACATGGAGAGGCAGA